CAATATGACACACCAAAATTTGGGGAAAGGTATGAAAGCCATATTAAAAGGAAAATTAATTGCATTGAGTGCCTACATTTTTAAAAAGTAGAGAGACCCCAAATAAGTAAGTTTATTTTCCAATCAAAGGCCTTATAAAGAAGAACAAACTAACTTCCAAATCAGTAGAAGACAAGAAATGATAAAGATTGGAGCCAAAGTTAAAGAAATTGAGAAAAAAAAATACATAAGATCAACACAAGGAGTTGGTTCTTTGAAAAGATAAATGATAATGATGAACCTTTAACCAAACTAACTAAAAGAGAGAAGACCAAAATGAACATAATTAGAGATAATAAAGGAGATATCACCACAGATACTTCTGAAATCCAGATGATCATTAGAAACTACTTTGAAAATTTATACTCCAATAATCTGTGAAATCTAGAAGACACTGACAAATTTCTATATACATATGATCTGACTAAATGGAACCAGGAAGATACAGAAAACTTAAACAAACCAATATCAAGTAATGAAATTGAAACAGCAATTAAAAGCCTTCCAGCATCTGGGTGTGGTGGTACACAACTGTGATCCCAGAAACTTGGGAGGCTGAGGCAGAAGGACCACAAATTCAAGGATGATAACAGCAACTTAGCAAAGCCCTAAGCAAATTGGTGAGAACCTGTTTCAAAATAAAAAGGGTTGGGGGTGCATCTCAGTGGGTAAGCACCCCTGGATTCAATCTTCAGCACCAAAAAATAAAAGCCTACTAACAAAGAAAGGCCCAGAATCAGATGGATCCTCAGCTGAGTTCTACCAGACCTTTAAAAAAGAGCTAATACTAGTTTTTCCCAAGTTATTCCATGAAATTGAAAGAGAGGGAACACTCCCAAACACATTCAGGGAAGCAAGTATAACTCTGATACCAAAACCAGACAGAGTCATCTAGGAAAGAAAACTTCAGACAAATATCTGTGATGAACATAGATGCAAAGATCCTTAACATTATTTAACTGCATTTGAAGAGACATGAAGAAGATAATATACCATGATCAAGTGGGCTTCCTCACAGAGATCAAGGTTGTTTAAACATATGCAGATCAGCAAATATAATTCACCACTTAAATAGAATTGAGAACAAAAACCATATGATCATCTCAATAAATGCAGAAAAGGCCTTTGATAAAATACAGCAACAATCATATTAAAAACACCGGAGAAACTAGGGATAGAAAGAATTTACCTCAGCATTATAAAAGCTATGTATAACAAGCCCAAAGCCAATGCCATACTAAACTAAAAAATTTTCCTCTAAAATCAGGAAGAAGAGAAGAACGTCCATTCTCACCACTTCTATTCAATGTAGTTCCTGGGACTCTAGCCAGATCAATCAGTCAAGAGAAGGAAATTAAAGGGATATAAATTTAAAAAGAAAAAGTCAAATTATCACTGCTTCCTGATGACATGATCCTGTATTTAGAGGACTAAAAAATTTCACCAGAAAACTTTTAGAGATAATAAAGTACCAGGATACAAGATCAACACTCATAAATCAATAACTTTTCTATACCCCACCAGCAATTCAGCTGAGAAATAAATCAGGAAACCCATCTCTTTTGCAATAATCTCAAAACAAAAATACCTGGTAATGACTCTAACTAAGGAAGTGAGAGACCTCTACAATGAAAATTATAGAACACTGAAGAAAGAAATTGAAGAGGATGATAGGAGATGGAAAGCCCTTCCATATTCCTGGTTAGCAGAATTAATTTTGTCAAAATGGCCACACTACCAAAAGCAATATACAGATTCAATGCAATCCCCATCAAAATACCAATTACATTCTTTACAGAACTAAAAAAATCAGTTCTAAAATTCATTTGGAAGAATAAGAAACTCAGAATAGCCAAAGCCATTCTGAACGAGAAAAGTGATGCAGTAGGGCTGGGGTTGTGGCTCAGAGGTAGAGCGTTTGTCTGGGATGTATGAGGCACTGGGTTCGATCCTCAGCACCACATCTAAATAAATAAATAAAATAAAGGTACTGTATATATCTACAACTAAAAATATTTTAAAAAAGAAAAAGGTGATGCAGGTGGCATCACAATACCTGATTTCAAATTAAACTACAGAGCTATAGTAGAAAAACAGCATGGTATTGGCATAAAAATAGACATGAAGATGAATGAAAAAGAATAGAAGACACCAAGACAAACTCATGTATTTACAGCCACTTGATTCTTGACAAAGGTGCCAAAAAGAATTGTTGAAGATTTTTAATACATGGTGCTGGGAAAACTGGATATCCATCCATATGTAGAGAATGAAGTTAGATGCTTATCTTTCACTGTGCACAAAAGTTAAATCAAAGTGGATCAAAGACCTAGGTATTAGGAATTGCAACTCTTAGAAGAAAACCTAAAGGTCAACCCTCCATCTTATAGGAACAGGAACTGACTTCCTTAACAAGACCCCTAAAGCTCAAGAAATAAAACCAAAAAATCGATAATTGGGATGCCGTCAAATTTAAAAAGTTTCTGCACCACAAAGGAATAATGTGTTTGTAGCAGCATAATTCACAGTAACCAAATGATAGAACCAATCCAGGTGCCCATCATAGATGAACGGATCAAGAAAACGTGGTGTATAGACATAATTGAGTACTACTGAGCCACAAAGAAGAATGAAATGATGGTATTCGCTGCTAAGTTGATGGAAATGGAGACAATCATGCTCAGTGAAATAAGCCAGGCTGAGAAAATCAAAGGTCCAATGTTTTCTCTGATATGTGAAAGCTAAAGAAAATGAATGAAGGAAGGCAGATGAAAAGGGGATCTGTTGTCATAAAGGTATAGAGAGAGTCAGTGGAGTAGGAGGAGTACAGAAGGGAGGGAGGGAGGGAGGTAAGGAGGGAAAGGGGAAAAATACGAAATCAATCTAACAAAATCATGTTACCTACAAGGTAAAGGTACCAAAGGGAATTCTATCCTTATGTGCATGTAGAAAGTACCAATCATAACTAAGTTAATAATGGAGTGAAAGAAAGATCAGTAGAGGAGAGAAGGAAGAATAGGGGGAGGGAGGAGGGGAGGAAACGTGGGGGGGGGAATGGGTATTGAAATCAAATTCCAGGCATGTGTGATTTTGCCAAAATGAACCCAAATACTATGTATAATTATAATGCTCTAATTTTACAAAATAATAATCAGTACACATAGGAGTACAGATTCACAGCAGCCAAGATTTGAATCAACCTAAATATCCATCAGCTGAAAAAGAGTATGTGATCTCTATATATACACAATGGAAGATTACTCAGCCATACAAAGACGAGGTCCTGTCATTTGTGATAAAGAGGATGGACCTGGAAGATATCATGCTAAGTGAAATAAGCCAGTCACAGAAACACAAATACTGCATGACCTCATTTGTGCAGAGCCTCATAAACGGTTGATCTCATAGAAGATGGGAGTAGAAGGGTAACCACCAGAGCCTGAGAAGAATAGGGAGGAGAGAGGAAGGAGGAGGCAGAGAGGCTGGTCAAGGGGTACAACTTTCCAGGTCAACAAGAGGAAGAGGTTCTGGTGTTCCACTGCCCAACAGGGTGAGTGCAGTCAGCAATAATGCAGGTTTGTCTCAAAAGGGCTGGATGAGAGATTGAATGTACTCACCGTAAAGACATGATAAAAGTTTAAGGGGATGAATATGCTAATTACCCAATTTGATCATTACACAAGGTACACATGAATCAAAATTTCACTTGTACCCCATAAATATGTACCATTATTATGTGTCAATCAGAAAGAAGAGAGGGAGGGAGGGAGGGAGGGAGGGAGGGGAGGAGGAAGGGAGGGAGGGAGGGTGGGTGTTTGGACAAGAGAAGAGCTATCAAAAACTCAGGAGCTGACTGACAGGTGACTATGGGCTGTCTTCCAGAGGAGGGCTCGGTGCTGCTGTCTGGCAGATGCTCTGGGGTTACCAGGGTCTATAGGCGTGTGCATCTTAGCTTGCCCTTGATTGTCTGGGCTATTTTACAGCTCTATAGGCATAGAAATTAAATTGTATTAAACTGATAGCAATGCAAATGTTCTCCCCACCCCCAGCTGTGAAAAACATTTTCTGCCAGGGCAATGCAAGTGGATTTTTATCTGGTAAAGAAGAAAAGTCTCCATAGGTAAAATTCTCATTTGAAGAGCTTCTACCATTTTACTGGTTCCTCCACTAATTAATGAATAAATAAAATATTTGTTGCACATTAATTTTTAAAATATGTGTACTTGTTCATTGTCTGCTTATTGACACTGATCTCTGTTTAAGGCCTATGTATTCATCATTTTTTATCTGTATTTCCTGATCTTTGACTTCTGGGGACTGCTCCTCCCTGAGTTAGCCAACCCCTACAATAGTACACAAGTTGCCCACGCATGTGCATGCTTTTCAAACACACACACACACACACTGAATTGTGTTCCTTCAAAATCTTACACTGAAGCCCTAAACCCCGAGTTGGATGTAGCTGGGCCTTTGATAGGTAATTAGGGTTACATGAGGTCAGAAGTGGGGGCCCTGATTCAGTGGGATTGGTGTAATGATACAAGGAGGAGAAGGCAGAGGGGAGCTTTCTTTCTCAATGCATGCAGAGGAAGTCACATGAGGACAGTAGAAGGCAGTTGTCTACACACCAGGAAAAGAGCCCACAGCACAAACCAAATCTGCCGGCACCTCCATTATAGATTCCTGGAATCTAGAAAATAAATGTTAAGCCACAAAGTCTCTGGTACTCTGGTTCTCGCAGCCCATGCAGTCAAAGGTAACGGCCAATCCAGAGCCCACGGCCCAGCCAGGCGGCTCCCAAACCCAGGTACCACGACACAGGGAAATGTGAGCGGTCCAGCCCGTGCCGCTCCTGCCTCTGCATCCCAGCACAGCTTTGCACCTGTGATGGTCATGACTGTTAGCTGAGTAGCAGAAGGAGGCTGGGCTCAGAAGAGGTGTGCAGGGCGAGGCGGCCCTACCTCTGGCACCTTCAGGCAGCGGGTAAGAGCGCAGATCACCATAGAGGGCTCGGCGGTGGCCTTCTCTGTGATGATCACTGAGGCCAGGGTCTTCCGCATGTCGAGGCCTGCCCCAGCCATGTCTGTCTTTGCTGACTCACTGTCCATGATGTCCAGGAGGTTTGTGACTTGCTGGTAGATACCTGAAACAAAGGGGGCACAGGTGCCGTGCGGAGATGGCCGTCACAGGAAGCCCCTGCACCTGCCCGGCTCCAGCTTCCCCAGGACATCACGCCCACGCCCAGGCCCACTGTGAAGATAGAGGAGCTGAGACCCAGGTGGGATGGCCGCGAGCAGTGAGTGGCCGAGAGGGACAGGAAGGCGAGGTTGGCAGTGACCTCCTTACCACTGTCATCTAATGCAAGACCCTCTGCGTCCTCTGCTTCCTCTGACACGTCTCCATTCACGTCTGCGGCTGCTTCTGCCATCTCTTCCTCAAACTCTTGCGAGATAAATGAGATTTGTAAAGGACTCCATATGGCAACACACCCTTCTCCCGGAATGTGGGCAGAACCAGTGGCTTGATTCTAACAGGATATGACAAAAGCAAAGGGTTGCCACTCCCATGATGCTGTTGTTAACAGAAGCCTCCGCATTCTGCTGGCCTTGAGGAGCCAGCAGCCAGCATTCGAGCTGCCTGTGGAGGGGCATGTGGTAAGGGATGGGGCCTCAATCCTCAATCCTGAGGAACTGAATCCTGCCAACAGTCACAAGAGTTTGGAAGAGGTCGCTGAGCTCCAGAAGGGAAGGCAGGAGAGCCAAGACCTTGATGAGGCTTCTGAGGCCCTGGGCAAAAACAACCCAGCTGAGCCCAGACTCCTGAATCACGAACACTGTGGGATAATCAGTGGGTGTTCCTTTAAGCCACTGGGTTAGTGATCATTTGTTACACAGCAATAACTAACTAATACACTTGGTTAAAATGTCCCCCTTACTCTTCTGGACCCTGAAAGTTCATGACTCCTGAACTCAATTACTCTCCTAACTCCCTTCAAGGGCTCTCCCAGCTTCTTAAGGGCTGACAAACGCCAACACAGATGTTAAGGCAGGGATAAGAAGCTCCCAGCTCCTTTCTCCTTTTGTCCCAAGTTCCTCTGTCCTTGAGGCCCGTCCTAGGGCCCTTCACCATGGTGGTCTTTTCTTCCTGGGTTTCTTTTAGCTCTGGGACCTAAATACTGACCTTTTCTCAGTCTTCTTATAGATGGAATAAAAATATGCCACTAAGAGAAGCTCTGTTCCTTGCCTACTGCACATCAACAGGAATACGAGCACTGGCAGCCTCAGGTGCCCAGGTGAGGCCGTTGGACTCCTCCATGACGGTTCTCATGAGGAATGTGCCTCCCGGCAGTGTGGGAGGGTGCATTAGAATGGGCACCCGTTAGACCCCAGACCCTCGGAACTTTGAGATCCAACTGCCCAACTCTCTGTCCCAACCCAGGGCTTTTGGGGGGTGCACAGGGCCCTGGGATAAAAGCTCCACGTGCTGTTGTCCTTAAACGTCCCTCTTGCCCACTTGTGTGTGCTGATGTACTGCGGCCTGTTTGGAAAAGGGAAATGGTGAGGGTAGGGGTGATTCACAGCCACTTCCCAGGGGAGGGAGCCCAGGATGGGGCAGCCGGAGAGAAAAGTAGGAGTGACAGAGTCTGGGGATAGGACTTCATCTTGCCAAGCTTCAGACAGTGTGCAGGATGGCAGATGGGTTCCCGTCAGCAGCACTCTTGGAAGATAAGTGACCTCAAAGACAGGTAGAGGAGCAGGAACTCTGCTTCCCTAAGTCAAAAGCTGGTGCTTTTGGCTTTTAGTTTCAAGGTGTCACTTGAAACTAAAACAAATGGTCCAGACCCATATTTGCACAAAGAAGTATTGGCCTCAGGGAAGCTTTCTATGCCTTCTGTGGCTACAGAGCGAGAATCAGAGCCACACCCAGGTCCAAGTCTCCTTAGTTAAAACTTGTACTTAAAGTTGCCCATCCTGCCAAGAGGGAGTTCTTCAGCCTCTGCCCGGTTACCTCTAATAGCACAGAGCTCACTTCTCTCAGATGCTGCCTATTTCTACATCACAGAATTGGGATGATTAGAAAATGAATCTCCGTCATATCACTCAAACACATCTTCCCCATAAAAGTCCTTCATTTTTCCTAATTCTGCCTTTGGAGACCCATCAACCATTATAGACTAGATTCGAGAAGGTGGTCGCCTGCACATCTTCTTTCGCAGCTCCTCTGCAGTATCTCCTCCCTCTCCCCACCAGGCCTTATTATCTCTTTCAAGGATCACACAAATTAGAGGGCTGCAATTCCAAAAATACTTCTATGTGCTTTGATTGCATACCTCTGTGGGCAGCTAAGCATGGCAGGATACAGGGTGGGTAGGGTACTTATTTGTCCTCTGAGGGTCTTCACCCCAACACATGAAGGATCATGGATTTAGAGCCCAAAGTGAAGGTGTCAGTTAGCAATTGGTGTGTAATGAACTACCTCAAAGCTTAACGACTGAAAACAATAATTATTTCCACAAGTTCGTGGGTCAGTTGTCTGGTGCTGTTGATCTGGACCATGTCCAACCAAGTGCAGTTGGAGTCACTCACACACCCGCAGTCAGCAAGTGGGTGGCTATGGACTGGTTGCTGGCTGGGTACTGGCAGAAGTGAGGAGGGTAACTAAGATACCAGTCTAGCCCACGCAGTTTCCTAGCAGTTTGGCAGGACTCCAAGAGAGTGAGTGGAAACATGAAGGCCTCCTGGGACCAGCACCTATTGCTTACCACTTCCTCTCAGCCAAGGCAAGCCACAGACCAACCCAGACTCAAAGGGTGGAGATAGAGATACCCCCTACCCCCTCTTGATGGGAAGAGTGGCACAATCCTACTGTGAAGGATGTAGCTATCAGGAGGATGGAGAAAGGCCTGTTTATTAAAATTATATGCAGAATAATGTGTGATCTTCACGGCAAAAAGTGTAATGCCCTTGAACCCATTATCAATGAGATTAATGTGCGGGCTCTCTCATCCAGCGAGGGGGTCCACGGAACAGGGTAGAGGAGAGTGTGGCTGTGGAGTCGCTATTCAAGATCTCTGGAGACCAAGCAGGAAGCAGGTCTGATTTTATCGCACATTTACCATGAACATATACTCAGGCAATTACAGGCAGCCAGCAGTACAATGTCTGGCCAGCTGTCTTTGCAGCGACCAATCGAGGAACGGGCTCTGGAGCAGGCACAGGGACTGCAACACATGGCCTCACACCCAGGACTATGCCTACAGGGTAAGCGGTTTGCCACTTACACACCTAGCATGAGGGGAGAGGTTTGCCACTCAGATGCCCTTAACACATGCCATGTATGCAGCACTCCATGCACGTGTCCCCACATCTCTCCCCTCTGACTGTGTGGCAAGGACTTTAGCCATCATTGCTATTATTCTTTTGGTGGCCTTTACATGGTTACATAAGGGTCTTACAACACAAGAAAAAAATTATCACTATTTTAAAAAGTAGGGCCAGGATAATAGCATTATAAGGAGAAGTTAATTTGGCTATCAGATTTTTCCAGTGTTTATTCAATCCCTGGAAGAAAGAAGAGGTTGTTAAGATAGACACCTTAGTCTCATTGATTTTAACAATTACCTTAGTAAGGTCATAATATAGTCAATATCCCAAGCACCTTTAACATACTGAGAAAAATTGGAGAAGTGTAAGGTTACATTTTCAGATACAGCATATTGGATGACACAAATACTATGAAATTCAGGGTCATAAGTGAGCCTTTACAACATAAACAGAATATCTAGTTATTCCTGTGGAGGTCTAGTGCTTGCCGAATGACTAAAATAGTGGCTCAGGACAGGTTATTTAAGTCATTTTGAATGGAAAAGGCTTCTGCCATGGCAGTAGACACATTGTCCACAGTCTGAGCCATCTGGATATTCTGGGTGAGCGAAGCAGCGGCAGTGGCTGTGGCAGCGATGGCAGCCACCAGGGCAATAATCCCAGTGATGATAAGGCTAATTGCACGCCTTGTCTGGTGTAGAAGATTCTTCATCTCCATGTCCCATGGACTCCTCCACTCTCTGGACAGGGTCACTGGAAGCCAGACTGCTGGGGGCACTCTGAGGATAAATACACGTTTAGCTGTCATAGCAGGGATTAGACAATTTGTGAGCCAGCAGGATATATTGTCAGCACAAGGGATCTCTGTTTGAGTGATATTTATACCCTCAGTATCATTGATTATTAGCATGGCAAAGGGTGGCATAACACACACCTGTGCATAGAGGGTATGGGTATAATTTGGCATAAAGGCAAATGGTAAGGGTCTGGACTCAATATCATCCTATTCATCCAGCAGGGTGATGCCCATTTGATGGCTTTAACAGCCAACAATATTCTGGCATAATATCTATCATGCCATACTGATTTCCTGCATAACGGTTGGTAATGGCTCGTCCTGTGTAGTAGGTACTGCAGGGGCCAATATGGTTTTTGGGCACATCAGTTACATTCCAGGGAGCTGTGCCCACCCAGGAGCATAGACGTTGTCCTTCCCCAGAGAAATTCCTCTCATCAAGGAGATAAGGTATGGCAGTGTCCCATTGATTCCATGGGATGCTATCATTATCCAAGGGGGTGGGGGGCTTTCCAAAAAGCGTTGTTGGGCATGTTGGCAGCAAGGGTTTCTTGCATTTGCCATGGGGGAGTCTATGGCCATAGGTAGCATTAACTGTAACTCTAAGGTCAGTGAGAGACAGCCCAACATAAGGCTTATTATAGTTATCTACAAAAATTTCATTGACAAGAGCAAAACAGAGGTGACTGTCTGGATTATAGGTTTCATTATCTACTACAGAGAAACAAATGGGCAGAGTAGCTATGGAAATGCTGGTTCCAGGGTACTGTCACCTCCTGGATGAATAACTCAGGATCAATAAGGTTGGAATTATTAGAGAAGAGCTCAGGTAAAGCCCCTTCCTAATTAGCAACTGCTAAAGGTGGTGGCCTAGTAACCAAAGCTCAATTTACCTGACAGGAGGCTTCACTGTTAGCAGTGAGCATTGCACACAGTAGGACCACCATCATAGGCCCAGAGATGGGGTTGCCACCAGGCAAAGGGGCCAATCTGGTGGCTTGGTCAACAAGACCTTTAAGATCACCCCAGGTTACTTTATGTGAGGTCCATTAGTGTTGTTGAGTTCTTTGCCTGTGAGGTTTTTCCTCCAGAGTTAGTTCCTTCATCTTCTTGGTTGGTGGTTCTGGGGGTCCAGGGCTTGACTTTCTGGCAGGCACCCAGATGGGGTGAGGCTCCTGTTAACATATGCAAACCCTTGACCCATGGTTAGGAGGGGCCCCAGACCACCCCATGCATTTGTTATGGGATCCTTCCATGAGACCATAGGAAGATGGGAGGGCCCCATGAGGGGGACCCAATGTTTATGAGCTGCTGTTTCCATAGAAAATTTTGACATTGAGAGAAAATTTAAAGCAAATAAAGTTTTGTTCAAGGCATTGCAAGGAGACTCGGTATAGTTTCCCCCATGTTTTATAGCATGGTCTTTAATTCCTTGTGTGTTCTTTCTATGATGCCTTGAGTCTGGGGGTTATAGGGGATTCCAGTTAAGTGCTATATATGCCATTCATTGCAATCTGCTTGAAATGTCTTGCTCGGGTAGGCTGGCCCTTTGTCAGTCTTAATAGACATAGGAACACCCATAATTCCAAAACATTGAAGTAGATGGGAGATGACTTTTTGTGGTTTCTCCTGTGGAGGCTGTGGCCATTACACAGCCTGAATAGACATCAAGGATTACATGAATGTATTTTAAATTTCCAAAAGGTGCATAGTGAGTGACATCCATTTGCCAAAAAGCATTAGATTTTAACTCTTGGGGATTCACTCCATCAGGTTGTAAAGAGCCACTGGGGAGAAAAGATGCATATTTTTTGCGTTCTCTGACTAGCTGTCTGCAAGCCTCCTTAGTCCTGCTTTTATGCAACTGCCATGGCTGAGGCCAGCAGAGAGGCTTGAGCTGCTTGTGTCCCTCTATCCTGGGTGGCCAAAGTCCATTCATCCAGTGTGCCATTGCGTACTGGTGCCGCTGCTGCTCTATGTTCCTTATTTAGTCCATCCCAGATCAAACCCTTGGCTAGTGCTGCCCTAGCTCCTTCCTGAGACACCTTCTCTTCTATTGCCTTGTTTACTCTGTCAATAAACTGTGGCAAGTCCTGAGTGGCTCTCTGCCTTAAGCCTTGTAGAGAACCTGTGCCTCCCCCAGCTGGTAGCTTCCTCCAGTCTCTCAGAGCACAGAGGCGTACCTGATTGAAACA